TATGCATGTTACCAAAAAAAAAAAAAAACAAACACCACATGCTGCTGAGATGTGCAGCTGTGTTCGTACCAGGTTTATTATTGGTCTTTCTAACATTTGAGATTTCACAGGACAAATTTTGAGAAATTTCAGGATTTTAATCATTGCAGGACATTCATCACTGGTAGCCAGAAAGGTCCATATCCACAGCCTATACACAAGTTCCAAAATGAATTCAGGAATGTATAAACCCGGCAGTACTGTGCCCCTCCTTTCCTCACCCACACAGGTAAAAATAATCTGGAAAATTAACAGGTCCCTTTGGATTCAAGGATGGCCTCAGAAGGGCTTTTGCTCCTTAAAAAACTCCTTCAAAAGCCTAACTATTTGTCCGCCTCGATTTCCCTTTTGACTCCTCCTGCACTGCAATCACTAACTGCAGCCAATAGCTCTTCCCTTGTTTTTTTTTTTAAACTAAACAGTATCTGCTCTTTTTATCCATCCTGCCTAGCCGCTCTTGCGCACAGGTGACTCTCATGAGGTCCACAGCAAAGCTCTTATATGGCTCAGCAAGAAAGAAAAGGAAGGCACATCAGAACCTCAGGTTTTCTCCTTCTTCTGCTGAGATTTGTTCTCACAAACCAGGCGCACATCGAACAGCTCAACCAGCCAGAACCTGGGACGCCATCTGACAAACCTCTCTTTCAGCTCCAGGGGGGAAAATAGCTTTTGGAAAGTGCCTGAACTTCAAGGCACCTTAGCATCAGAGAAGCTCACCTCTTTTAGTGGAGGTAATGAATTATACAGGCACTCACGGTGGCATGGTGTGTGAGCATGTCCCCACCACAGCCATCCTGCTGCCTCTCTGGCAGAGCTGATAGGCATCAAAGCAGCACTTTAGCTAACAGTTAAACATTGTCCGTCTTCCTAAAATAAGACCTGCCCTTACTATTGTACTTGAAGTTTCTGAAAGGCTACTCATTATTTGATGTAAATCCCTGTTTTCAAGAACAGCCTTACTCCTCCTTTAAGACAGTTGCTCTGAGTAGCCCCTCAGAAACCACCTGCTTTTTTCATAGCCTGTATTTTTTTAATTCAATAGATTCCCACACACATTTCAGCTTTGGCCCTTGTGTTGGTTAGTTTTAAAGAAATGTTACACACAAGCAACAGGAAGGTGAGGAAATGATCTTGGGATCTCCAGCTCACATTGTCCAGCTGCTAGTTGAGATCAGGACATAACACATTCAAAATGTCTCACCTCAAACAGAAAGACAGAAAGACAGCTGCTAACAGAAACCTGCATCTTCCTCTAAATGACATTTCCCAGTCAGATGACAGAAGTGTTGCTCTCCTGCACGCTATGAGACAATATAAAGGATGATTAATCTCACCGTGCTGTATTGGGAGCAATGCACGTCCCTTTACACTGCTTTTGAAATGGCACAGATAAAAGCAGCATTTTACAGCTGCAGCAAGCTCAAGAAGATAAAAAAGTCCCTGTATGCACTTTCGTCACATTCCCCTGCCCATCTCAGGTGAGACTAATAGTCTGCCAGCACTTGGACGTGACTCCTGTCAGGTACCAGTCTTGCTAATTAAGTACTTTTGGCTGTCTCAGCATTGAACTCTGAGAGCATGAGGGAGACAAAAGTGAGCCTTGGAGAGATCACCGGAGTCTGCGTGGTTGAGGACCTGGTCTGGAATGAAGGAGCAGGACCGTCAGGAGGGTCTGCAATGTTCTTCTAAAATTGTTGGTCCATAAAAGACCAAGGCATAGTTGTGGAGGAAGGGAATGATGGTTTTCTGCCAAATTATTAGTTTATTCTGAAGAGGACAGGAACATAGGATGGGGAGGTTATCAATGCAAATTAGCACGATGGGGAGCCAGATGCTCATTCCTTCACAAACCAGACCTCATTGCGTCGCCCATAAGGCTTCATAGGGGGGTCATAGCCATTGCAGAAGTAGAAATCCTTGCGGTATGCAGCTTCGCTCCCCAGAGCAGACTTCAGCTTGGCAGCATAGTTCACGTAATCCGTCTCTTTGGCATAGCCACCAAATTGCCTGCAAAGAAACAGAACACGGAGAGCTGTTGAGCAGTCATAGAATTTAATAGAATTTCTAGGTTGGAAAAGACCTTAGAGATCATCCAGTCCAACTGTCCCTCATCCCCCATTAAACCATATCCCTAAGCAGTTCATCCACCCTTTTCTTAAACACATCCAGGGATGGGGACTCAACCACCTCCCTGGGCAGCCTATTCCAGTGGCTGACAACCCTTTCAGAGAAGAAATTCTTTCTGACATCCAACCTGAACCTTCCCTGACTAAGCTTATACCCATTTCCTCTTGTCCTATTACCCATCACTAATGCAGTCCTGGCAAAGCACAGAAAGGTAGACAGAGAGAACAATATATAGCCACAATATATTTAGCCATGCATTTTGGTCCAGGGCCCACCAACACGCACTCATGCAGGTGCTGTCAAGTCTCAAGGGTTACACAGCCAGGGTGTAGTCATCCACTGGCAGACCCCAAACAGACCCCCGCAAACAGACCTACGTATATCAGTCAGCAGAAGATGTATCAGTCAGCAGAACAGCCCTGCCCTTTGAATCAATGCCATATCAGAGGAACAGCTTCCTAGAACACAAGGTTATCTCTAAGTCTGCTCAGCTTGGAGTCCTTACACCAATGCTGTCAACAACCATGTTCACTGTAGTGTGAACACCCATATGCTGGAAGCCAGGGAAGCCAAACTCTAGCTAGCCCAAGAAAAAGGGGAGGTAGGAACAGAGACATCAGCAATTACAGCTCATGATACTATTTAAAAGGGGTGGGCTGGAGTTGGTCTGGTTTATGTTGACCTCCCACCAACAGGAACTGTTTCCACATCAGCATGCACCTCACTGCCCTGCCTCAGGACAAAGGTTTGAGACAAAACAGCCTGTTCTTGCGCAAGCAGCCCACGCCTGCAGCAAAGGCCAGGCAGCTCTAGAAGGCAAGGGAAGAGCCAGAAAGTTTAGAGTCAGCTAAAGTATTTCAAGTAAGGAAGCAAGGGAACATCCAAAGGGTTAAATACAAGGTGAAGAGCTTATTGCTATTGTGATGCTAGTGTAAGTCCAGGTTGTCAGTCAACAGCCAAGACATTCAAAGGTGATTTGAAGCAATATAATGGCTGTTTGTTTCCCTGATGGACTGTGGCATGGTCCACCTAAGTGAGGCTTCAGCTGACACCTGTAGATTGATGTGAACCACGCCAAAGGACATCCTTGATGACTAAAAACCATCTTGATTCCAGAAAGTGGGGAAAACAATAGTTTTCTGAGATGGGAAATAAGTCAGTACCTTTGATTAGATATTAGGAAGAAATTTTTTATAATGAGGGTGGTGAAACACTGGAACAGGTTGCTCAGAAAAGTTGTGGATGTCCCATCCCTGGAGGTATTCAAGGCCAGGTTGGATGGGGCTTTGATCAACCCGATCTAGTAGAAAGTGTCCCTGCCCATGGCAGGGGGGTTGGAACTAGATGATCTTTAAGGTTCTTTCCAATCCAAATCATTCTGTGATTCTATGATTCATATTCACCCTCCCTTACTCTTCACCTCCCCAGGTGAAACAAAAAGCCCTTCAGGGCCAACCTCCACATTTGTTTTTCAAGTGAAAAAAAAAATCCATATTCCAAATCAGTGCAGCATGACCAATGATAAGCAATGACATAAATCACCTGTCTTCAGCCTAGAAAGACCCCTCCATCTTCTTCTGCCACATGTACCCCTTGTCCAGCAAGTCACCTGGTAAAATCAGCACTGCTCTTCAGAGAACACTAGAGACCTCAGCACTTGGGACTGGAAATCCCAGGATGCGTTCCTTACGTGGAATAAATGGTCATCCCCTGTCTCTCTTCAATCTTAATGCTTTCGTCGCTAGGACAAGGAGGGTTGGCTTGAAACTGGCTTGGGATCCGCAGAGAGACCTTCACTTTCTGCTGTAATTTTTTTGAAAAGCAGTGATGGAGACAGGAGCAGTCATGCCCATTCCGATCCCTGAAAGAGACACACAGACATTACTAAAGAAGTCTAGGATCTTGAGAACTCACAGAATTAACAGGGGGTTCACAAAAGCTAATTTTAGTTTAGGAAAACTCCTCACACTGAACTTCTTGTATAATCCGTCAAGAGTGGGATCCTCTGGGGCATGCAGAACAGCCACATTATGCTTCTGCTTGGGCCAAGCTTCTCTCTCCACTGACTGGACAAGGACCTTGGGAGATAAGGGCCCCAGGTGACCTCTGGATGGCTTTTTATTAACGGTCCTGTTCGTGTGGCTCTCAATCATATAGGCTCACGTCACCAAGACACTCTGCTTTTCTGACAAACCACCTCTAACACAACAGGGTCTATAGTTCTGGGGCAGGTCAGTGGCACAAGTAAATCCACATCACAATGTAAATTACTATCATCTGCACTTAGTGATGAGCCCATAGCCAACGCTGGGTGACAGGAGCTTTCTCCTAAACCCTTCCAAATGCTTCCAGACATCCCACATGTTCCAGTATCCCAAAACTCAGAGCTTTCAGTAGGACTGTCCATGCCGTCCACCACTCCAGGAACACTATGCTTCTTTTCTGCTCGTTACTGCTGAGAGGTACCATATGACACTGAAGAACATTTTTTTCCCTCTTCTTACAGCAGTAGAGAACCTCCAAACCTCAGGATCAGACGGCCACAGAACCAGTTGAGGTCAAGCCATCTTTTTCATTCTTTTTGCGTTGATACCATACCTATCTCTGTGGCACACGTTATAGAAGGCACCCTTTCTCCCACAGCAACACCGATCACCACCTTTCCAAAACATGCTGCTGTGAATGCCATTCCCCTCTGCATCCAGCTCCTGCTCCCATATAGACTACACAAGTCTCTCTACCAGATGCCCGAGAAAGGTATGCGAGCAAATGTATATGCGTCAGAACTAGTCTTTGGTCTTATCCTCTTGCTATGGATGATTACCGATGAGCACACTTTAGTAAATTGAGAATTATAAGCAATCACCTGGAAGCACCATTCTAAAACATTACAAAGTACCATGAAAAAGCAAGCTTATTGTTCATTACCCTTTCATGAATAAAAATAATCAGAGTATATGACAAAATATCAAGGTCATAGAAGTTATTTCACTGCCTACAAGGGCACAGCATAGAACCCAAGTGCCTCACACCCCCTGGATATCATCAGCTACTGCTCACCCAGGGAGCTGTGACAGATACAGGTGTGCCCGTC